GGGACTTCCAGGATCACTGTGGTCACTCAGCTCCAACTCTGCACTGAAGGGACTTCCAGGATCACTGTGGTCACTCAGCTCTAACTCTGTAATTAGGGGACTGCCAGGATCACTGCAATCACTCAGCTCCAACTCTGTAGTGAGGGGACTTCCAGGATCACTGTGGTCACTCAGCTCCAACTCTGCAGGGAGGGGACTGCCAGGATCACTGTGGTCACTGAGCTCTCACTCTGCAGTGAGGGGACTGCCAGGATCACTGCTGTCACTCTACAAGGCATGAGAAGGCCCAGGATTTAGGCCCAAGGGGAGCCAAGGTGAAGTGGGAGGTGCAAGGTGGGACTGAAAATGGGAATTACTAGAATGTTGATGAGCAAGACCTCCCAAACCTGCTCTCTGCCCGGGGTAGGGGGCCACAACCCTCCCCCTCTACAGCCAAAGATCCAGTTCGTTGGTGGGAAGACCTGTGCGGACACAGACACGCACATATACGCGTACCACACATGCACATACACACATATACACATGCACACACTTATACATACGCACACAAATACACATAGACATATACAAACATAGCACACACACATACACAAGACACATCACATATACACATAGACCCACTGCACATACACACATACATGTGCACACTTATACACACCTATGCACACAAATACACATAGACATATACAAACATAGCACACACACATACACAGGACACATCACATATACACATAGACCCACTGCATATACACACATGTGCACACTTATACACACGTATGCACACAAATACACTTACACACACATAGCGTGCACATTCTCACACACAGACACATGTGCACACCTCCCCTTCCTGTTTAGCTCCTGCAGTTGTGGCAGCTGTGATTGTACTTCCAAGGAAGAAGCTAAAAGATCTGTCTTTAGAGAAACTGAACAGCCAGAAGAAAGGTATGCAGGCCTTTTCACACACATCCAAAATGCCGTGGGAAGCCTGCTGCCTACCCAGCTTGTAGTGAAGTAGCAGTGATGGGCCCAGCTGTACCAGTGAGTGGAGAACCCCCCCTCCAGATATAAAGGGGAGACAGAGAGGGATAAATAAAGAACACTGGAAGAAACAAGGGTAACATGAACTAGAGGAAAATTTAAAAAGAAAGGAAGGCAGAAACTATTTAATTATAGAGATTAGAAAAAAAAATCTCTATAAAAGAATAATAGGGCTATTTTTTTAAGGTGGGTGCAGCAAGGTAGGGGAGATCATTCATAAACCAAGAAAAAAATTTTTGAAACTAAAACATATTGGTAAGAATAGAAAATGTAATTGAAGTGTTAGAAGATAAAGATAAGGAAGTCTCCTGAAAAGCAGAACCAAAGGAAAAGGGGAAAGAGAAGAAATATTTAATAATGAAAAGATCAGTTCAAGTGGTTCAAAATCTAAGTCTGAACTTTAGAAAATAAGGAATGGAGGGGGAGCAAAGTGTTAAAGAAAGAATGCAGGAGTTTCTGGAGCTGCCGGCCTCAGTGCTGGTTGGGAGGGTCTGCTGCGTCTCAGTACAGGGAGGGAGAGTGGCTGCACAGCAGAGCTTATCAGAATGGCATTGCAGCACCCAGGAAATGAAATTCTCCTGAACGCTTCCACATAAATAAGTCCATAAATGATGTTTACATGTGATAGACCCAAATCAGAGTGGTCTAAAGCTTCCTAGCTGCCGTGCTGGGAGCTGGGAAGGCAGTGGCACAAGGCCTTCAACACTGTAAGGCAAATTTATTCCCTACTAGTATTTTATAATCCTGTGTTAGGGTTCTCTAGGGAAGGATAACCAATAAGAGGCATATACTTTTGTAAGTTATTTATAAAAAGGATTTATTATAAGGAATTAGCTCACATGATCAGAGACTGAGAAGTCACAATATCTGCTGGAGATCCGGGAGAGCTGGTAGTGCAGGTCCTGCCCAAGCCCACAGCCTGGAGGCCTAGCACCGATGAACAGTGCAGTCTGGAGACCAGGTGAGCTGATGCTGCAGGTCCTGCCCAAGGCCCAGCACTGATGGACAGTGCAATCTGGAGACCTGGGGAGCCAGTTGTGCAGGTCCTGCCCAAGCCCACAGGCCCAAGGCCCAGCACTGATGGATGGTGTAGTCTGGAGACCCAGGGATCCAGTGGGGCAGGTCCTGCCCAAGCCCACAGGCCAAGGCCCAACACTGATGGACAGTGCAGTCTGGAGACTGGGAGAGCCTTTTTCTGTCTGATGGCCAGAAAAGACTAATGCCCAAGTTCAGACAGGCAGGAGGACTCACCTTTTTGTTTCACTCAGATCTTCACTTGAATGGATATCCAGCTCACATCTGGAGGGGCTCACCCACACCTGGGAGGCGTCTGCTTCACTTCGTCTACTGGTTCAGAAGTTATACTCACCCAAAGTCATGCCCAGAATAATGTGTGACCAAATGTCTGCGTGCCCTGTGGTCTGGGCAAGTTGACACATGAAACTGAACATCATAGCAGCAAGCCATCCATCAGTTTTGAGTGAGAATAAAAACATTTGGGGGCACACAGGTCTCAGAAAACATATTTTCCACATGCCACATCTCAGGAAACTAACAAGGATGTGTTTTACCAAAATAAAGAATTAAATGTGATGATCCAGGAATAATTGGAATCTGAACATACATAAGTGAACAGCAGCCTTTATCTCTACCCGTCACTGACCCTTCACCCATCTCTCCATCCCAACTCTCCGCTACTTACGTGTGGGTCAACATAAAAGCTGGGCAGGTTAACACAGAGGAAATTATGCAGATTCTTGTTGCAATTAAAATCCACATCTAGACCTAGTGGTTAGCAGCTATACTAAGTAATTATGTCTTCAGATAAAGAAGAGTCTTCTGGGCAGTGCCTGTGGCTCAAGGAGTAGGGCGCTGGCCCTATATGCCAAGGGTGGTGAGGCCAAACCCAGCCCTGGCCAAAAAAAAAGGCTTCAATACAAAGCAAAAGGCCCCATGTACTCTGCAAAGCAGCAAAAGGCCCCATGTACTCTGCAAAGCAGCAAAAGGTCCCATGTACTCTGCAAAGCAGCAAAAGGCCCATGTACTCTGCAAAGCAGCAAAAGGTCCCATGTACTCTGCAAACAGGTTCACTACAGGGACTGAAATCTGTTCATGAAAGGAATCCCATTCTAGGAGCTCAACCCTTAATTATGGTTTTATACATGTATTTTTTTAATATTCTAGCTTATGCATATGTTAATACACAAAACCTGAATAAATTGATGTACTTTTAATTCATATTTTTATATTACAGTTAAATATGAAAGGATCAAGTTCTTGGTGATTGCCTTGAAGAACGCTGTGGAGATCTATGCCTGGGCTCCTAAACCATATCATAAGTTTATGGCATTTAAGGTAAGCAAGGTTACTTAAAATTGGCTTTTGTTTAATTTCTTAGTTTCTAGGAATTAGTAACATGGTCTGTTTTCTGTGTAAACTGATATCAACTTGCCATCACAAACCTGTTTTAAAATTATAGGTACTCAGTACTGTTGGGTGTATTATTCCAAAGGTAAGGACTGAGTGTCTAAACACGTTCTGGTGGGTACGGTGTGCATAGTCTAGTGACAGATAAACCGTAAGGTAACATGTCAATGTGCAGAAAAACTTTATTAATGTTAAACAAAAATGCTATAAAATTAGTCAGATTAAATGTGGGTCTGCCCTCCTCCACTTGAGGCCTGTGAGTTGTCATCTTCAGGAGTTAGTATGGAATGGCTTCCAGTCAGAGCACTACTTGGTCAGCCCAGGCAGCAGTGCGGGCTCAGGCTGAGCTGGCTCCAGATCCTGTCAGCCTCGTGAGTCTCTGGACAGAGCCCTACACTCAGCTGCTGCTCTCGTGCCCACTGCTGGCCACAGGCATGGCTGGCCTCTCAGTTTCTCTGTGCTCTCTGTTTTCGTTGCTTTTCATTTCTCACCTTGTCTGAGTGAGTGCCCCCAAGGGCTAGGCTGTCCCTCGTGAAGCAGAGAGGGGTGGGATACACTGGTGCCCTGGGCCCCAGCTCATGGAAGCTGACCACCAATACCAAGAAGGGCAGAGCTCCCACCCTGCTGCGCCCACTCCTGACGTGGCCTTATCTCCTGTCTTCTCTCTCTGCCGCTGTCCATCTCCTTCTCTGTAGCTCATTGGCTCTCACATTTTCTATCAGATGACCACTACCTCCCTTTGGCTCTTTGTTTTGTCCTGCCACGGGCCACCATGTGAGGGCAGACGCTGCCCTGGGGGCATCACACAGGTCCCCTCGGAGTCCCAGTTGCCACCCCTATCCATCCTCAGGGCAGGGGACCTGACTATGATGTTTGTGGGAGGCAGATTCATCCCTGGAAATGGGCTCCCCTCCCCAGCCCTACTTCACAGAAAGAAAGATTTGGAATGTATTAATTAGGTCAGTGAGAGCTCGGAGGGGATGACTCTCAGAAGCCAAAACCTCCCTCTGCAAAACCTTTTTGATCAAGGTCTCACGCTGGCTGTGAAGTTGCTGCTGTTAGTTTACCGGCCAGAGTGTGGAGGTTGCATCCTGCTAGGTCAGCACACCTGGGCCTGGGAAGAGGGAAGGGAAAAGGCAGAGACCAGAAGGACACTGGCCTGCCAGGAGCTGGAGGCTTCTCCTGAGGCAGGATAGATGTGTGTGGGCCTCCCATGCTCTGAGAAGTGTGTGAGCAAAAGATGGAGCCAGGAGGCTGACAGGTGGGCGAGTGCCCAAGGTTTCCAGGCCCAGGAAGGGGGCTGTGATTAAATGATGGAAGGAAAATGCAGGGAGCACTGAGCTGTTAGTAGGACTTGGGCCCAGATCCGGACACACAGAACTTGGGCAGACTTGGCTGGAAGGCTTTTCATGCTTTCTATTAGTAGTTAAGCTCAATCATCGATGCAAGCCCTTTGTCCTGGGGTTTTCTGCTACTAAACTCAAACTATCATCTCCACTAGCGCTGAGTCCAAGTCTAAGTTCTCAGTGCGAAGTTTAGAGAAAGTGCTGCTCTGATGCCCACACAGTCACTAGAGGAAAATCAAATCCAGAGCTTCCCTTGCTACCCTGTCCTACCCTGCCCTGAAAGAGCAGCCAGTGTGTGGGGGCTTTGCAACCACCTGGCAGAGGAAGGACCAGAGAAGTGACCAGGCCTTCTCCAGAGGTCAAAGGCCAGAAATAAACACAGTACCCAATCACCAGACTTGACAATTGAGAGCTTATCTCTTTGTTCCCAGGACAAGGGGCAGAGAAAGGATTAGACAGGGGCTGGACCCTTCCTCCTAGAGTCAGGACAGGAATGGACCTAAACTTGAGAGAGAGATTCCCTACTACTTCAATTTAGTAAAGTCAAAAAGTGACTTCTTCAGATGGTAACTGTAGGGAAAAGTGGTTCAACAACCCCTCGGTGCCGAGGCACTAACGGGCTGGCTTTACAGTCCTTTGCAGACCTCCAGCACAAGCCTCTGCTGGTCGACCTCACCGTGGAAGAGGGGCAGAGACTGAAGGTCATTTTCGGCTCACACACTGGTTTCCATGTGATCGATGTTGATTCAGGAAACTCCTACGACATCTATATACCATCTCATGTAAGTCTGGGCACCATCTGTAGGGCCTCTGTGCAGGTGGCCTGCGTGTGGCAGGAGACCTGTGTCCGCGTGTTGAGTGGAGGCCACAGACTTTACTCATCGGTAAAGCAGGTGCACGTCTGACCTTCATTAAATAGAATGCTTTTAACAACTAAAATGTGTAGATATAACTAATTTTCAGGGCTTTGTAAAACTGAGTAACATATGATAGAATTTGACATTTACGTGTTGTCTCTGGACTTTACATTAAAATGCATATGATATTTTTTCCTTCAAGGCATAAATTTTGTACAATGTATGACTTTTTAAAAAGGGATTGGTTCATTTTATGTAGGAGAAAGCCAGTGGTAAGATACCAATTTCTTAGAAACCATCCTTTTCCTGCTATATTTAGTTCCTCCCTTGGGCATGTGGGGTGTAGGGTGGTGGAGCCAGACACTGGCATCCCCTCCCTGGCTCCAGTGAGCACCATGAAGTGATGGGCACATCAGGCACCTTGTGGCCCTCAGCTCCCACAGCTGGAAGGTAGGGTGAAAAGACCTGTCCCAGAGGGCTGTTGTCAGTGTCACATCTGGCCCAGGGCCCTGAAAATTGTAGTTCTTCCTGGCAGTGTGACATCTGTGTCACTGTTCTGACATACCGCCCAAAAAAGAGGGAGGCGCTGAGCATCTGAGCCGTGTGTCCTGATGTGATCCCAAGAACAAACACTCAGTAAAAGCTACTAGGAAAGCCTGAGGTCTGATCTTTTGCTGACTAGTATTTTGGGAATTTGAGCTTAAGAAGCATAATAGCCCCAAAAAGTTGTTTAGCATATTTCTCTCTCTCTCACACACACACACAGTTGTTCAATACTGCATCACACCTGTACCTCGTGCACACAAGGACTCCCAGCCTGTGTTCCCAGTGGGGTGACCAGGGTGCCACTGTCCTTGTCCTCAACCCTCTCAAGCCAGTATCCAGCTGCCGTGACTCTCTCAGCCAGGGTTGAGGGGGACAGCAGCAGCTCATCTCTGTTTCCAGAACAAACTGGTTTGCTCTTACTTTAATAATGTAATTTTTTAAAGTGAGCAGTAATTCTAAGTATTTTCCTAAATGGACCATCAGTTTAGATGTTCTGTTAACAACTTGTGTTTGATGTATATACTCCTTAACTATTGGGGGGTCCCTTTCTGCCCACGTTGGGTGACCTCCTTCGATGCAGCCAGCCTGCACCATCCTCATCCTTTCCAGAAATAGTGGCTCTCATGCAAAACACATGAATTTCAGTGACAGCAAGACCTGTGGTCAGATCCCAAATCCACCACCCAATGCCAGGCAGCTCTGTGAGGGGTCCCCCCGCCGACACCCAGGTCTAGAAGGGGCACCTGCAGGCAGCTGGTGGCTGACATCTGGTGCTCCACTGATGCTGCTGCTGTGGGAGCAGATGAGACAATTCTTAATCTAGTGACCAAGCATGTGTTTACCAGGGCATTTGACAAGTCAGTGGTTAAATTAAACAAAGCACATTAAAGCAAATTTCAGCCTTTACGGCGAAAATGAAAAACACAACAAAAACGCCTCTTTTGCGTCTCTCAGAGATGAGCAGCCTAGGTGTTGTCTTGTTCAGAAGCATAACGCCCAGCCTCCCTCTGTCGTCTAGATTCAGGGCAACATCACCCCTCATGCCATCGTCATCCTCCCTAAAACGGACGGCATGGAGATGCTGGTGTGCTATGAGGACGAGGGTGTGTACGTGAGCACCTACGGCCGGATCACCAAGGACGTGGTGCTCCAGTGGGGAGAAATGCCCACGTCTGTGGGTAGGTTGCCCATTCCTTATCCCCCTCAGCAGTTACACCCCCCAAATGAAACAAAAACCAAGAAATGTGAAACCACCATTTGATTCCACAAAAAGTGTCTGTGAATAACTCTTGTAAGACTTGCTTTGTCTGTTTATCTCAATCGTTTGTCATTTTTGTGATTAAGATGTGAACAGATGCTATGAGTTATTGCCCATCTAATGTTTTTAATGCAGTTTTGGAAATTCCTTTTGACAGCCTACATTCATTCCAATCAGATAATGGGCTGGGGCGAGAAAGCTATTGAGATCCGGTCAGTGGAAACAGGACATTTGGATGGAGTATTTATGCATAAGCGAGCTCAAAGGTTAAAGTTTCTATGTGAAAGAAATGATAAGGTAAATCCGTTTCAGCGTTTGCATTGTGTTTGCATTTTAAGAGACCACCAGGTACCTGTGAAACCTTCATTTTCCTTTATACTGATTTGAATCACCTCTTGTGTTAAAGTTAATACTCTCTTGAAATGGCATTATTTGGTTTGATCATGTGAACATTCAAGATTATATTATTCACATATCAAAAAGATACAAAAACATCTAGAAATTTCTTGTAAACTCTTGGTGATTTTTGTGGCCTGCAGGCCTTATGACTGGGCAGGTGCCCAATTCTGCTGATTCTGAGGGCAGCAGGCCCGTCTCTCATCACCTCCCAGCGCCCACTTTATACTTCTACTTGTAGACTTCTCACAAACTCACATTCACTTTCGAGACTTAACCCACCACCTTATATTCACCTGTAAATGTGAAACATTTGCCATGTAGCAGTATAAGCTTTTTCAAAATGTCACCCATTCCTTAAGGAACACACAATCACAAACTCAATAGTGCCATGTCCTGTGTCATTCCAGCCATGTTTCTTCTGAAATGTCCTAGGAGACTATTCTCCAGTGAATTGCTGTGTCCGTCTGGCATGCTCGGTCCCGCACAGGGTGTCCTGCGGCAGCACTGCCTCTGGACGCCCTCCTGGTAGAGGGAGCCCAGGGGCAGCAGCTGGGCTGCCTGCAGCTGTGACTCGTCCTCCGTGACTGTGGCCAGCACAGAAACGCTGTCCTCAGAGCCCAGACACAAGCTCCTGTAGGAGAGAGGTGGCGGCTCAGCTGCTGTGACCTCCTCGCCCAACCCACTGCCCCAAAGGCCGGCCTGGGGATGTTTCCTATACTAGACCCTGGCTGGTTGGCTGGCCCAGTGTGGTCTGGGTAAACAGTAGACTGGGTTGCTGCTTCTAGGGTGGAAGAGTATGCCAGAAAACAGGCTTAGGCCAGTCAAGCTCCTGAACCCACTGGGATCACAGGAGTAATCTGGGCAAGGACACCCACCCTGCAGCCTGGCCCAGATGGTGCCCACACCTCAGGAGTGGGCTGAGACCAGCCTGAGTCAGGGGACAGGTTTGGAGTGCAGGGCACATGCCCTAGAGACAGAAGCAGCCCATCTCCCTCTCTGTGCCCCTGTTCTGACCCATCAGCCTAAGTGTGGCTTCACTTCCACACACAGCATTAGCTCCATGACAAGCACTTTCACAGAGCTCCCGAGGAGTTGTGGCAGTGATGCGGCAGAGACTTCACACTAAAGCGTGAGCCTCAGAACCAAAGTGTTATTTCCTGAGGGCAGCAGTTCCTTTACATTCCCTTCCTGTGGGCAGCAACCCAAATTGTGCTCACTTCTCTCAGCAGTTTGATAAAATGATTTGACAAACTCAAGACCTAATGGGCTATGGTTCTACTTATTAATGCTGTCATCTCCTTTGGCCTGGATCCACAGAGAAGCTGCATTTACCTTTGAAATGCCCGATTACACGGGCATTACACACATTACCCTATCTGACCACAATCATTAAAAAAAATCTTAAATTTTAAAAAGTGAAAACTAAAGTTCTATACTAGTCAGAATTCCCCTTGGTTCTGGGAACTTGAAAGGATTCTCTTCTGCCCTGAAGTCCACTTTCTTGTCACTTGTGGGAGAAGGAAGGGGACCTCTGTGCCTGTAGACACTAGCAAAGGTTCCTGGGCCAGAAATCTAGCATGTTCCCTTAGTGAGAAACTCCCTTTCACAATGTAAACCCCAGAGGGACACCCAGAGGCCAAGACCACAGTGAGTGACCATGATGGTAGAGGTGGGCGTGTGCGCAGGACGGATCACAGCAGGAGGCACTTTGCTAGCACCAGCCGCCGAATGCTAAGAGCTGACACATGGCAAGGATAGGACATGTGAGAGAAGTGGATGGACAGTTGAAGAAAAGCGGGGAGAGAGCCTTGCAGTTGAACTAACTTCTTTTTAATTTCAAACAGGTGTTTTTTGCATCCGTGCGATCTGGAGGAAGTAGCCAAGTGTTTTTCATGACCCTCAACAGAAATTCCATGATGAACTGGTAACAGAAGAGCACTTGGCACTTATCTTCATGGCGCTGTTTCTAATTTAAACGAACATAACTCACGTGGACACATGCCAGCCTAGAGGCAGGATCGGAAGGCCTGGTCGAGCGTCCTGCGTCCCCTTTCCCCCTCCTCCCTCCCAACACAGCCCAGCCTCTATGTTGCAGCCCAGCTGAGAAGCAGAGAGAGACGGCTGGACTGTCTAGGAGGTCCCAGAGTGCTACCTGGTCTGTGGACAGAGCTGGACCATGGGTCCTTCGGGTTAGGGATGGAAATAAGCATTGTGTGCTTCTATGGTTAAGCTGTGTTGTAGTGGGTTTGGGTTTTTTTTACCTTTTTTCTTTACCCCTTTACTCTGTAAGAATGGGGAGAGAATGTGTCCGGAGACATGAGTCTTTTTTGGGTTCTGTCTGCCTGCTAGCTTTAAGTGTACCGTGTGTTGTAAAATCCCCAACATCCAGGGGTCAGAGACAGCACAGTAAATGTACCTTCCTCCCCACACTGAAGGCCACGCTGCAAGTGGGTAATTTAAGAGTTCTCTTGCCTTCACCAACCCAGAAGGTTGCTTTTTGATGGCAACTGGCTAATGAATTTTTAAAAGAGAAGAAGAATACTGGTTTCCCCTCTTTGGGGAAATAGCTTTTACATGGCTAAACTACTAGCCTTAGTCTAATAATCCCAACTACCACCTGAGGAGTCTGACGGGCCGTGTGTTAATATGGCCCTTTGCAGGATGGACTGTGCAGGGGACAGCAGAGCCGCCAGTGGGTCAGTCCAGATCGAGGGACTTTGTGATGCAATTTCCCTCAGCTGCTGGGCGGCAGATCAGGGCAAAAGGCGGGAAGGCAGGTGGGTCAGACAGAGACAGCGTGCGTGTCCCATGTCTGAGTGCACAGAGCCCCCCACCCCCACCCCGGGCTTCCTGAGGACTGAGACTTTGCTGGGCTCTTTCTGGGAACTTGGGGAGCTGGGTGACATCCAGGCTCCAGACACTCCCAGCTCTCTCCAGACGGAGGGTGCCACTTTCTCAAGATGAAAACTGTGACTGAAAAAAAATTGATAATACATGTTTCTGAGCTGCCTGTGTTCTTCCCGGGTGGGTGAGAGAAGGGACCAGGCTCCCACACCTGCCTTGGACACAGCAGCACCCATCTCTGGTTCAGATCCTGAAGAACTTAACGCAAGACTTTGGCCAAAATTCTGAGAACCCTGGTCACTTTACCTTCCTCCAAATTACCCAACATACAGTAAACAGCATTTGTGTAGAACTATGTATGTATTTAGTTCAGGTTGACTTGTGTCCTTATAAACTCTTACTCGAATGATTTGAACTTTCATGTGACTGACTGGGATTTTTTTCCAAAGCTACAAGCATGCCGCCTGTGGTCCGAGGTGTTGTGCTTCCTGTTTTAACCTACCTCGTTTTGTTTGTTTTTGTTTCACTGTTCATCACAGCAGTGTTACCTCCAGGAGACATATAGAGAGCTCAACTGGCAATCTCAGGTGCATAATGTTTTTAAAACAAAACAGTAGTTGACCAAATTATTATTCTTAAAAATATTGGGGGGCAGGGAGAAATTTAATGACAAAAACTGATGTGGCTTAGTTCTGGAGAAAATAATGACTATAATCAGATCAAAAAACAATCTGTGATCCTACTGATTTTGCCTAAATACACGAGCAGCTGATGTACTATTAATGAGAACGAAATGCCCACTAGGAAGACGGGGCCATTCCCATCTGATAGTTTGGGCAAGGCGGGAAGAGAAGGGGGTATTCTGGTTTCTGGAGTAGATGACTCTGCCCTCCTGGAAGGGGGTTGGCATTTGCACTAATTTTAAGCAGGCAGCACCCAGAATGTTACTGAGGGTCACCTTCCGGTGACCACCAAGATGTCCTCACGATGGTCCCTCTAGCTCTCGAAAGCAATGAAATCCTCCCGTTCTCATTTTTATTGCTATGGTTCCGCTGCTGAACAACACTTTCTTCACAAATTCAATGCAACAAATTCACCAATAACTTTTTGGATTGAATTTAGCAACTACTGTGATTGGATGCCGACACGGACCAAGTACATTGATCTGGGTTTGAGCCCCGAATGTGATTGCCACCAGCTCTTTATATTGCTGCTGTGGTATTTTAAACCAGAGCTTCTTTAAGTTATGTTGCAAACTGATCTTTGTTTTCATGTTTTGTTTTGTTTTTATTTCTAAGTGATAAGTCCAAACACACAGCTTTAAATGATTTTTTTATTGTGGGATTGGGGGTACAGTTAAGAAATAAAAGGGAATCGTTGTGTTTAAACATAAGGTAGTTTGTGAATGTATTTTTTAAAATCTAGATTCATTGACATGAGAAACCATAAGAAAACAATATTACTGCAGCCTGGTTTATAGTCTGTACAGTGACAGGAACACGAGCTTCTCTGCTGCCCACAACAATAACACAGTCATCACACACCAAGTCACGCCTCTTATATTTTTGTACAAATATTTTACACTAAGTACCAGGCAAAACCAAATTTAACAGAGTCCCCCACAAATCTGTGGTTCTTAAAATGTATTTTAAGAATTCCATGGGCAGTGTCTGTGGCTCAAGGAGTAGGGTGCCGGCCTCATGTGCTAGAGGTAGTGGGTTCAAACCCAGCCCCAGACAAAAAAAAAACTGCAAAAAGAATTCCTTGACACTTTAATCTTTAAAAATACATTTTTTTCCAGCAGGGCAGACCTAGCCCTGACTGAGGAAGCCTGGCTTGTGTAAAGTACATCACAGTGATGGCCTTGTAGCTCAGACAATTCCAACTTTTTGGTTTGCTTTAATTCCCTTTTTTTTTTTGAGGGAAGAGTGTTACTTTTTGTCCATTTGTACAGCATCTCAATAAAAGTATCTTTAGTTTTTATCATTTCACAGGTGATTTTGGTCCTAGCAATTGGCTCATTTTATTTTTCTACAATGAAAAGCTAGAGAGATTGCGCCCTCCCCCCAAGTGAGGCCACTGGATCTTTCGGTCCCCACTGCCCTCAGGTGATCACCATCCAGCAAACCCGCCTAGCCTGTCCACACCGCAGTCTTGATCAGGGATGTGGCAGGTGACGTCACCCTGGGGACCAGCCCAGGATCTGTAGCATGGACTGTTCCATCCAGTGTGTGGCAAGAATGGGTGACCTGTAAGGTGTCTTCAAACAATGAGTCTCCTCACTGCCATTCCAGCCAGACCATTGTCACAGCAGACAGCACCAGCAAGGACAGCTGCTCTGAGTCCCACGGAAAATCTGATGGTTCTGTTCAGGGAGTTCTCATTTTTCTCAGAGACTTCTAAAAGTGCTTCAAGAAAACCTAAACTGTCATTCGCTCAGCAGGGCAGGTTAAGGTGTAGATAAACCCCATTTTCATGACACCCCGACACTGTTTTCTGAGGTGAACCCCAACAGGCCTCACACCAAGAACACATGTTTTTGAAACGTCTTAACTCCTGTTGGTTAGCCCGACTAACAGTGTTTCTGTCTGCTCTTGTGACTAGCTGGAAAGTGGTGTCTCTGCTCCCTCCCCCACAGATTATTAGAAAGGCATGAAATTCAGGCTGGAGCCAGAAAAGGAGGCAGCTTGAGTCCCTCGTTCCTTGATGTTTAAAAAACCACGGTCCCTACTATTACGTGTGCTGCCCCCGTCGCCTTTGTTCTTGGAATGTGGACGCGCTCTTGTGTCTCCAGTCTGTGCTGTCTTGGGAAGTCTGCTCCGACAGGCATGGTGGTCACGTTTGTGCTGCTTGAGATTGTCAGATGTGCTACGTTATTTTTATGAAAGAAGATACAGTTATCAATCAAACTTTAATTTCAACCTCCTGCAGAAAAATGTGAAAAAATCCACTGCCTGCTAACGACAGCTCCAAATGGCCCTACTGTGCTCCTTACATTCCAAAATCTCTGCTATTATTTTCTGAACCTCTTAACAGTTTCTGTAAATTATTAATGCCTTTTAGTTCATTCCTCAAATGTTTAAATCTAACCAAATCAAACAAAACATAACCAACCAACCAACCAAAAGCTGACCTCCTCTGAGACTATATATAGTTGTACCATAAATTTAAAATCCCAAAGTCTGAATTTGATTTAATTTACCTGCCAGTATTTCTCATAAATGCTACTACATTTTGGCCTCATCAGGAACCCTGAACTGAGCTGTCCTTTCACAGGTTTTAAATAAAATGGATATAAAGTGATTATTTTTCAGAAGTTCCAGCAAAGAAGAAAACTTCTTATGAATTCTCAAGTTCATTTATATATTTCCACCAAACATTTTCTAGTGTTGTTTTGATTTCTATATTATACTATGGTTCTGGGAAGTTTTCCATAGAAACTAGACTATTGAACAATTTGCACAGCATTGCTCAGAGTGAGAACATGCCCCTGTGCTTTGCACTTAATTCTTCTAGACCTGCCATTCCAGGAAATGCCAGATTACACTGAAATAAAAATCTCTATAAGTGCATTTTTAAACAAATCCCTGGATAAAGGTTGAGCTATTTTAAATCCAGATCAAATCTTGGACACTGTGTCCATGACAATATTTGGATGAAAACTAGAAAATGCAATTAAAAACGTAATAAAGTTTCTAGAGTTTTGGTTTGTGTAGATATCTTCAAGCTAACCCACTCTTCACGTGATAGCGTCTGATCTGATGGTTCACCCTCAGCACTGCCAGGGCCCACTGCAGTCTGGACGCCAAGCACATGCTGACCGTTGCATCTTCACTTGAGCCAACGGCTCAGTCTTAACTATTTGTACATAGCAAATGTCCAGGGCCACACGCCCTCCCCTTATCTCTTCCCCATGGATTAATGTTAATAATAATACTTGTTATGGTTCACTTAAGAAATCTCAGGCATTACCCTGAATCAGAATTTCAGCAGGAAGAAAAGGTGACACCTCAATGAATTTGAAAATTGGATATTATAAAACTATTTATAATGTTAGCATAAGTTTAAGGAGATGCCAAATCTATAATATTAAAAAAGTAAACTGTCATTTTGCTGTCCCTACAACTGTTTACATTTTTTAAATCCCTAGTTCTCAAAAGTGTTTTGAAATTTTTCAAAACTTTGCTAAAATCTGGATATAGTCTCACCTGAGTGAGGATAAAAGAAGGAAATCTTCCTGGCATGTTTTCTAGTCTGAAACTTCTGGTTATTTTCAAATACATTTTTTCTGCAACAAAAACTCATTCTGGAGGTATTTATGGAGTTACTGGAAGCAGAAGATGGAAACACTTTAGCAGGTGATCAGCTGAGCAGTCCCCACACAGTCACTGCTGGGCCGTGGAGTACACTGTGTCACCTCTGATGAAATGAGAATAATGAGGCAGGTACAGAGGCCACCTTCTCCTCACTGCCACCCCACACTGCCATCCTTCCCTCTCACCTCCTCCTCACTGCCACCCCACACTGCCATCCTTCCCTACCTCTCCTGCTCCTCACTGCCACCCCACACTGCCATCCTTCCCTCCCACCTGCTCCTCACTGCCACCCCACACTGCCATCCTTCCCTCCCTCTCCTGCTCCTCACTGCCACCCCACACTGCAATCCTTCCCTCCCACCTCCTCCTCACTGCCACCTCACACTGCCATCCTTCCCTCCCACCTGCTCCTCACTGCCACCCCACACTGCCATCCTTCCCTCCC